GTGTGTGTGTGTGTGTGTGTGTGTGTGTGTGTGTGTGTGTGTGTGTGTGTGTGTCTCCAATTTCACTGGGGAAGGACAAAGGCAGATAGGACAGACTCAACTTAGGGCTTTTTGGAGCTAATCAGCAGGTCAGCTGGTAATGTCCCTCCATTCCTTCCTTGGAAAAAGCTGTTTAAGAAGAGCTTGAACTAATGATCAAGGCTTTTGTTTTCTTGATGGTCTGCTAAACACTGTGTTATTAGCTCCCTGCTGGATTCCTCACCTGTCAGATTTGCTGCAGACAGTATGAAGAAGCAGGGCCAGGGAAATTGAAAAGCTCAGTGTCATCAACACATGCATACACTGCACATCCCTGCTTTGCCTCAGAGTGCTAGCCCAGGGCTGGGGTTTAACAACACTCCCTCCCTTTGAGAAGCAAGCAGGGAAAAGCCTGGAATTCTGCAGGCAGAGTGGGGGTTTAAACCCCTTACTATTCAGAACATCCTGTTGGGGCCTGGCCACACCCCTCCTCAGCTCAGCGGTGTGGAAGAGAAGAGAGGGCTGCTCTAGTGCTCCTTGGTTTCTAGCCTGAGCCACTGCAGGCATGTGCCTGCATTTTCTCAGTCCAGACAGAATGCCTGTGGATTTGCAAACGAATTCAACCTAGGCAGATTAGAATAACCTGCAAAGATTGAATCAATTCAGGCCCAGGCTTTTTGAATATCAGTCACTAGCCCAAGTCTATATCACAAGCCCATATTAAAAATCAGTCACCTGTATGAATTCTGTTTTTATTTTAAAGTAACACTTTGAAGCCTGGGACGTCTAAAATTTGACCTTCTCTTTGCATACATCTGTTTGCAAATGATATGTAAATTTTTTACATACATACACACAGAAAAATAGAGTGTGTGGTAATATTTTCCAAGGAAAGAGCACAGATGTTTTTGTTTGGAAATAAAAAAAAAATCTGGGACTACATACTGCTATTTAAACTTACCTTAAAAACTGGCTAAAAATCCACAAGCAATGAAAAAGCTACAATGTACATCTCAAGAGTGGAAGAGATTTCATAGAAGACATGATCTCAGACTAAAGCAAAGAAATCAAACTGTGCGTATGGAAAAGGAAATCCTTTCTCTAGTAAACATTCTCCACATATCAGTTGGAGCAGCTGTAACAATATAGAGACCTACGGTAGATCATATCTTATGATATAAGCTGCATCCCAAATCTCTTTGCATAATCAAGTAATTACAGTTACATGGTTTTATTCCCAAAATGGTATTAAAAATGTCTCCAGAGAAATTGTACGCGATTACCTGGATCCAAACATAGCCTCTCTGTTTTGGTTTTGGGACCAAAATCTTCACAAAATAATGCTTTATTGTGATATTTATTGTTACTGATGATCTGATGTGGGGAAATGTATTTCCCAGAGAAAGTATTCTCTGTTCTTCAAAGGAAACATATTTCCTGCCTCATGTTGTACCATAAGTAAGATGCTTCATTGTCTTTCCCTTGCAATTCCTCTTCCTCACAAAGGGAATTGTTTTATCTGGAACATTTGCAATAAAACATATTGTTAATGATTCAGGAATATCATGTTTGATCCACGGTCTTGGTATTGTTGTAGTGCTGACCCCTCCCTCAAAGAAGCTTTCTTGGGAGATGTGGACTCCACCGCGTGCTCTTGTGTGATGTACAGCATCATAAAGGGGTAAGGACTTTTAGTGCCATGGAGAGCTAGAAACCTACAGTAGCCTCATACTAAGAGTAGTCACCTCTGGAGAGCCATCAAATGAAAATGCACTGTAATTGTGAGAATTGGTATTGTTCAGCAATGCTTTAATGCAGCTTTCTGCTCTCATTTGGGCTGCCGTTGATTTTAGCTGTAAGATTGCATGTGGGAAGCTTTCTGCATCTGTCAGAAGGTGAACTGCAAAGTGAAAAACCAGGAATGAAATAGAGCAGTGCTTTCCAGTAACAGCATTTGGATGGCTGGAATGTATGTATTGTGCAACATAATGTGGCTCTCACAGCCCCGGAGATTGGCAGTGTCTATTTGTACACAGAACAGGTACAAAACAGGGAGTACCAATGCATACTCCTCTTCTGCCCTCTCCATCCCACATACTCTGCCCTGCCAGTGGACCCCACATTCAGATTCTTTTTCTAATTCTGATTTTTTTCCCTCTACTTCTGGCACTTTTCTCTTTTGCTAGTACAGAGATTCCACAATCTCAAATAACTATGGCTCAGATCTGTTTCTGCTCTGTTATCCTATACAAACTGGTATTTTTTTAGGAAGGTCACAGAATCTGGGGGAAGGGAGAAAAGAAAGCAAGGATGAGGAAACAAGGGCTGTTTTCTAAAAGCTTTCACAAGGAACTCAGGTATGTGCCACACTTTCCCCTTTTATACACTGCAGTTGGCTGTTTGACACTTTTATTTGGGCTGTGAGGGTATAGACAGATGTAACAAATGTATCAATATGAAATGTGTCAATATTGCATTTGATGGACTGAAATAATACCCTTTCTAAAACTATCATCATCAAAGTGACTAGGTTACTGTAACTGCTAATTTGGGCAGAGATGGGATTGTTATTACCTAGAAATCTGGAGTTATGTGTTCATTGTCAAGTGAAGGCCATCACCCATGTGGGGCCTTCACTTGTGGGGCCCAGGTTAGCATGGATATGAACAGTCAATTATATTCAAGTTGCTTTGAACTCCTGAGTATTGTAATCCCCTGTGTGTTTCTAGAACTGCAGAAGCAGTGCCCCGGCTCTTTTCTCTTCAAAGAAACTGAGCTTAAACTGAGCCCCTCTATAGTGACTTCCCACTGACCTGTAGGAGAGTTGCCTATTCTGGACACATAAGGGGAGATCACTGGTGGACTATTTTCACTTGAGTGACTTAACCTGTGTCCTTACTGAAGAGTGGGCAGTTTCCTTTCCTGAGTGAAAGCCTTACTTAAATTTCAGCCTATAGGCCCAGGAAAGAAAGCTAACCTGGGTTAGAGTGTTACTAAATCAAAGTTTGCATATATGGATGAGATGTGTATTAAGAGCACTGTTTGAGAAAGACCCCTGGCTGACTTTGCAAATGAGATGTGAATTGTTTTGATTTCTTAGTTTGTCTTTGCATTCAGCCAAGCATGACTGTAGAAAGACCACTTTTCCCAAGCCACTTAAATCACTAACTGACTGTGCCTGGAGCAATTCAGTGGGAGTGACCAAGCAGAGCAGTGGACCTAGGCTCAAGAGAAGCAGCATACACATCGTCACAGTTATCTTTTTTTTTTTTGGAGCTCAAAATGCTGCTTAAAAAACAGTCCCAGCCTTCTGAAAAGTTAATGGTTCTCAAATGTTTTTGTACCAGGATCCATTTGTAAACATCAATGGCCAGTCCCAACCCAATGCCCCTGACTTCCAACCCACTGCCCCCACCCCCAGGCCCCGGCCTCCCAGTGTGTGGGGCAGGAGTTAGGTGTGTGGTGCAGAAGGAGGCAAACAGCCCCTTGCAGGGTAGGATTCTGCCAGCCTGCAAGGGAAAAGCCACAATTTCCCAAATTTTTCTTCTTTAAAGAAAAATTCATTTTTTAAATTTGTTCACAACCCTTTCATATATTCTTGCAACCCACTATTGGGTTGTCACTCACAGGTTAAAAAAGCTGCCCTAAGGTATTAGTGGTTGAAGTAGTGCAGAGGCAGGCAATTATTTTGGCTGGAAGGCTGCTAAATTAATTTTGGCATGTTGTTGAGGGTGACAAGGGTAGCCCCACCCTTTGACAGGTGCCCTGCCCCCTGTTTGCCATTTTGGGACCAGAAGTCCTGCCCCTAACCCCTGACTTTTGCCAACAGAAGTCCCTGCTCCTTGCTCCCAGTAGTACTCCATTTGGGAGGGAGTGTTGCCATCTTGAAAACAGAAAAAAAAATTATATACTAAAAGTCAAACACCTACTCTAACACATTTTATTTTTATTACAAAAATATTCTTGTCATGATTTGTGTTTGTGTAGTGTACATAGAGATGACTACATAATGGCTCAAAAATAAAGTCTTACTCTTGTATACTGTGTATGGGGGAGTGTGTGGGCTGAGGTTGGGGGGTGTGGGGTGTGTGGGGGTGCATAGGGTATTTTGCAGGGATATATGTATACTTAGGAGGGCTGTGGAGGGCAGGGTGTGGGTGTGTGGAGCTTGTGTGGTGTAAGGGAGGGTGGGCAGATGTGGGGACCCCCCCACATGCTCCATATGGAGTATGGAGCCCATTCCTACCAGCCCCAGCCCCCACCCAGCTGCAGCTCCGTTCCCTTGCCCCACTACAGCTTCACCCACCCCCACCACTTCCATACCTGCTGCCCAGAATAAGTGCTGCATCGGGGAGACAAGGAGAAGCTGCTGAATGCTGGGAAATGAAGCAAGGAAGCTGCATGATGGCTGGGCTGGGCCCTTCCATGAGGGTGCAGACAGAGCAGGGTACAATTAATTGGTGGTTGCCTGTGGGCCAGATGAAATTTCCTGGTGGGCCAGATCCAGCTTGCAGGCCATATTTTGCTTGCCCCTGAAGTAGTATGTCCTAAGGCCTTCCCCCAAATGTTAAGTGGTCCACATTAGAGAGTATGGAATGAACACCGGGGTCAGGGATTTTGCTGTCCTAAGAGAAATGGTGTAGAAGATGAGATAATAGAGAAATTATTAAAGTCCCTTGACATCTAGTTCAATTACATTTTGTACCATTAAATCTTCTACTCTCTTTTCAGTGATAAACTATATTCAGGATGCTCCTACTTTTTTCCAGAATCAAGCTCTATTTTATCTAATCCAAAGCTGATTACATTCAACACCTCTATCTTTCTGAAAGGTTATCAGTGGCCAGGAAACCTCCTTTCCATAGCACAGCTGTGGCTTGGATATTCATCATCTGGTACCAAATTAATAATTCACAAAATCCATTGTTCCTTTTTTTCATTTCTGAGGTTAAACAAGCAAAGCGCACTATCTTTGAACTTGTTGATAAATGAATTGTTGAATTAAAATCATTTGCAAATTCAATCAGGAAAACAATTCATGGTCTTCATATCACTCCAACAGTGAGTAACACCATGCAGCAAGCAGTATGAAATGCATCTTACAACATATAACCATTTAAGCAATTTATGTAAAAAGGAACTTAAGGATGAAGTGTTACTCATTACTTACATAAATTAGTTATATAAGCTACAGAGCAAATTGTGTATTCTATATTGAAGTGCAACATTTCATATTCAGTTTATGCTATGTTTATTTTACAATGACATATAAAGCTTTAAATGCATACATGACCATCTGTGCTGAGGATGCAACTGGTCATAAGAAAAGAACATGAGAATTATAGAAAACTTTTCTCAATATTCAGAGGCATGATGGACAACATTAAAACACCAACAAAACACCTTCTCTATTCAATTCATTTGTGTATTCCTATCAGTAATACTTGAATACTTGCAGCTGCCCCCACCCCAGCTCTGTGGTGCTGAGCAGCCCTGATATGCCAGTTGCCTCTCACTCCCAAACCACAGCACTTCTAGCCCTGCTGGTGCCCTTCACTCCCCACTCAACCCCCCGGGTGCTGCTGGTGCCCCTCACTTCTGGCCACAGCCCCCAGCCCTGCCAATACCCCTCACTCCCCGCTGACAGCCCCCTGCCCCACAGCTCTGCCAGAGGAGCTGCCAGGGCTATAGGTCCAGGGATTCAGATCCACAGTTCCCTGCCCCCTGCAGCAGCACCCAAGCCCCAGCTGCCTTATCTGGGAGGTGGCAGCTGCTGTGGCAGAGCAAAGCATGGAGCCCAACTTTTGCTTCCCCCCAGACAGCACAACCTGAGTGGAGCCCATTGGGAGGGGGCATGGATGCGGGCTGGTGTCTGTGGGTGTGGGCTCTCCACTGTGCTGTCCTCTTCCTAGGGCCTCCAAAGCATAGCAAGTGAGACCCACAACATCAGGGCAGAGTGGGAAAGCTCATTACTGCCATGCAATCCCTGCACCGTCATGGCCAAGCACCTTCTGCCCACGCAGCAGCAGCAAGGGGCACAACTCTGTACTGCCACCTCCACTGCTGCTGTTTGGGCAGGGGGCACTTCACCATGGCAGTGCAGGGCTCACGGCAGCAGCAACAAGCTTCCCCACCCTGCTGTGCCCTGCTACACTGGGTCTTGCTCACTGGGCCCTGGAGGCCCCAGGGGGAGGGCAGAAGGGTGGGGAGCCTGAGCCTATAGCATCCAGCAGGCAGCACCTGCCCCCACTCCATGCACAAATCTGGGGGGCACATGCCCACCTTGGGAGTGCACAAAGTAGCCAGCCCCCCTCCTTCTTCCTGGATGAGCCACCTGCAGCCCCACCCTGCTCCCTGCCTGGGCCCTGTGGGCATGCATTCCAGCCATGGACCTTGAGAGCCATGCACCCCCCTGGGTGGGCAGCAGCTCCAGTCCCAACCCCAGTCCTAGCCCAAGCCCCAGCCCCAGCCCCAGCCCAGCCCAACTCCCTCCCTTCCTTCCTCTGAGGGCCTCAGTACCACCCTCCCCACAACAGGCTGTAAGTTGCTCTCTAGGCTGCCTGGTGGCCATGTGCATGTGTAAGTGTGCACATGCACATAGCACCTCCTACCTGATTTGCCCTCCTCCCACTCACCACAGCTCCTTGCAAGCTGGAACTCTGCTAGCCTGCAAAGGGAAACCCACCATTTCCTCCATTTTTTTCTCCTTAAAATGAGTAAACTCTGTTGTAGGTTACCACATTTTTTTCTGTTGCAAACAGAAAACCCGGATGCC